AGTGTACCTCTTAGCTCAAGTGGATACAAGAGACCAAAGGGGCAGCTTCTGTCCAGAGGTGAGATGGGAAGGCAGAGATGGTTAGGAGCTGGTTGAATGGACATGGGGAATCAGGGATGGAAAGGAGGAGTGTGCTGTTGCAGAATGGGGTAAGCAATTAGGGTCGCATAACAATATATGTATAGAATTTTGTATGGGAGACTAGAGACGTAAACTTCATTTAAACTACAACAATAAAAAAATTAAAATTAAAAAAAAATAATGTAATTACTGACATCTCTTTGCAATTAAATTTTAAAAATTAAGAAAGTCTAGCTTCCTTGTGAATGTTTGCATGTCCTGTGATCTTGTCACATTCTTAATACATGTTGATCTTTCACAGGTGATGACAACAAGCTGCCCAAGAAAGCTGAGCAAATGTAAGTTTTCATTTCTATTTTAATTTTTCTTTCCTAAAGTTGAGTTTATCCAGAAGTTGTGGCTACCCTGTCTACTCCCTTTTTAAGATCAGCAGTGGTTAGGACACCTGGTTTATGAGGTACACATAACTGTGTAGCTTCCCAGGAGGTTCCCAACCCCTGTCTCTCAGCTTGGAGTCCAGGCTGGAGGGCCCTGCCAGCTTTACCATCTGCTCCTCTCTGCAGAACTTCCTGCTTGCAGCACCCATGCATATAAATGATGTAACTCTCCTTAATGTTTCCTACATAGTGTATTTTTTATTGGGGACTTTCTTAAAAATAAGACATCCCGAAACTCATTGAGAGAATCTATGTGAAACCGCATCTGGTCTGAGGATTATTTTCTCTGGATTTGACGCTCAAGCATAGGGAGCAGAGCTGGGATCTGAACCCAGGCTGTGCACCCTTAGAAAGGTCCTCGTGTTGATTTCTCTCCCCTACATGCAGCAGGAAACCAAAGACAGGAAATGAACTCATTAATGCTGAAGCTGCTGAATTCCAAAAAGCATTCTCCTTCAGAAATATGAATGTAATACTGTTTTATTATTATTTAAATAAATATCCCAGTATAAACCGGTAAAGTCTAGACCAGTGCTTCCTCAGGCCAGCAATGACGGGCCACAAAGAAACACCTATGGAGCTTTTCAAAAATACAGGTACCCCAGGCCCAATTCCACAGCTACTGAGTCCAAAATTTCTGGGGGTAGGATCCATGAAGTTATATTGGAAAAATATATGATACAAATAATATAATCACACTCCAGAAAATATGAAAAATAGAGAAAAGAAAAGAAGCCATAATTCCTCCTTTCTGGCACTTCTTAATGTTGTTCTTTTATTATTATGCATTTAGGTTTTATGTAGCTCTAATCATAGGGTGTGTACAGTTTTTTTGAGGGTTTTCTTCACTTTAGCAACAAGTCAACTATTTTCTTATATACTGGTGGATTCAGTCTTGCTTTGTACCTGCTCGTGCTTCCCTTGCGAGCTGTGCTTTATCAGTCCTACCAGGCACCTCCCCTTACTTTTTAGGGCCCCGTGGATGAGCCCCATTGGTGCCCGGCTTCAGGGACTAATACGGAAGAGTGCCTGGGCCCACGTCAGGAGACTCTCCAAATCCCAGGGCTAGTGGAACTGGGCCTCGTGGAGTCCTAGTGAAGGCAACAGCAACGCCCTCCAGGCAGAGAGCAGGCCCTCCTGTCATGGTTTTTATGCCTCCCCCCAGACCACTGTAGGTGTCGGTAGCCAGGTGGCTTGTGGATTGAGCTCTTGTCTGAGGGTCTGTGTAGGAGAAGGCCAAACAAGGGGAGGCCTGACCAGTGTTGGTACTTTGGGAAGTTTTAATGAAGCTGGGGGTTTATCTTCACATGTCTTTGGAGTTGGCTTCTATAAAACTTCACCCTTAGTGTCAAAATGTGGAGGATTCCAGCACCTGAAAGTGGCCAAGCTCATTGTCAGTGTCCCTGCCAGGCCCCTTCCCACTAGGGTGTACCCATCTGCCCTGGCCTGGCCATTAATCTTCGGGATATGTTGTAGATCTTTGGAGCCATGATTTTAGTATAAGTATTTCTATTTCCCTTTTTCTTCTTCTATCCAGTTCAAATTTCTTACCTAAAATGTGGAGGTGTGGTGCAGGTGCCAAGAAGGAAATGGAGATGGTAATGTGATGTGGCATGTGGAAAAAGTACCAGGCTGAGAGCAGACCTGAGTTTGGGTCTGCCATTAATTTGCTGTGGGCTTGGACAACTTAGTCCAATTCCCTAGGCCTCAGTTGCTTCATCTGTAAAACGAGAGGATTGGACCAGATCATTTCTGTGTTTCCTTCCAGCCCTCAAACTCCTATCACCTTCCTTTACCTATTAAAAGATTCTCACAGACTTAAAAATAGACATATCGTTAGGTAAGGCTTTATCAGTTCTCTGCCAGGCACCTCTCCTTGCCTTCCTCCACCTCATGGATGAACCCCCCTCTCTGTAAACCTGGGTCTTCTTCCCCTAAAGTAGTAGTTCTCAACCCAAGGTAGTTTTGCCACCCATCGTCACAGGGGACATTTGGCAATGTCTATCTGAAGACATTTTTGGCTGTCGCAACTGGGGGGTGCTACCGCATCTAGTGGATAGAGGCCAGAGATGCTGCTAAACATCCTACAATGCACAGGACAGCCCACCCCCTACAACAAAGAATCATTGGGCCCAAAATGCCGAGGTTGAAAAACCCTGCCTTAAAGGAAAGCAGACTTGGATTTTCTGAGAACCTTTCCAGCAGTCTTCAATCCCAGTTCTAGCAAAGAAAAAGCCTCCATATAATGACCTTGGGAAGTAAGAAGTCAGATGGGAAAGAGCAAAGTTTGTGGTAGGAGGGAGGCAAGAGAGCCCCTCAGAAGCATTCTCTGTTCCTTAGATCAGGCATGTTACCTGGAGCGTGGTCTGCAGCTGTTTAATTTGAGTTTGAGTGGAGCCCAGCCTCTGCTCAGCTGGGTGATCTCTCTTGCCCCCTGAGGTTCCAGGAGCAGCCAGCCTTCAGCAGGCCTGGTGAGGCAATGTCATGAAGGTGTGGTGCGGTTGCCCTGAAAAAACAGCAAGTCTATCTTGATGCTCCTGCACAAAGAAGGATCAGACCACCCGCATAGTTTTCTCCTGTTGGGTCACAAACAAGAAGGATTGGTCTTTGGAGCAGAACTCAGAGGAGGTGGCTTTTCTTAAGATGGTTTCACAAGAGCAAAGTACAAATCAGTGGGGGCACATGGTTTTAAAAAGGTTTAGAAATCAATGATTTCCATTTTTACACTTTTTCCATTTTGTTTAAAAATCAGTTCCTTGGAGAATGTCATTTGTGTGCATTCAGCTTTTGATGAAACTCGGTGCTGCTGTAGTTAACCTTTATTTTTTGTTTTTAAAGTAGGCTCTTATCCCAGGTATATGCCGCTGTTGTTGAGGCTGTTCTGGCTGGCATTGCATGTTATGCTAAAACTTCCAGTCTAACAAAGGTAATTTAAATACTGTGGTTCTCTTTCCTTAGTAGTTATATTAACATAAAACTTCCTATCCATCTGTTTATTCTCTGGACACCTTGTGGTACTCAATTTTGTGTGAGGTTGGGCCTTGGTGGAGCTGGCACCAGGCGGAGATGCTTTTAGAGCGCTGAGCTTCTGCCACCTGTGACTGTGCTGTTGTCTTATGAGTGACAACCAACCAGCACTTGTTTGTGAACCTCTGGTTGTATTAAAGAAAAGTCATTCTGTAACATGTTGTTCTAATAGTTTTAATAAGGCTTTTAAAAGTTAAAAAATTTAAAAAAATATAGATTATTCTACTATGAACTTTAATAAAGTTAGGTAAGTTTTTTTTTGAGCTATGTAGTTTGACTTCCTATAAGTCAGTGTTTAAAAAAAAAACCCTAAAGAATAGGAGATCTGACTTGCCTTTCTTAGACATTCACATGTGTTCTCATTCTCTGACCATTATCTTCCTTGCTGTCTTGCGGTTAACCTGCCCTGCTGAGTTGGATTCCTATATCTGACCCAGTAAGGAGATGAGAAGAGTCGGCTTGATGCCTCCTAATGCCAATAGGACCTTTCCTGAAGGAAGCCATTTGACATTGGAAAGGTTGTGTATGATGTAGATATCAGAGAGACTGTAGCCGTAGTCACCAGCTCTTTACCATCTCCCCTCCTCACTGAACTCGAATCCCTGGTACTGACTTGGGACTTCTCTGCACCTCAGCTGCTGTGTGGCAGACAGCTTATGCATTGCAGTGGAGTGTCCTTCAATATCAGTACTTATACACTTTTGTTTTTTGACTGATCTTTTGTAATTCTAGCTCTTTGAATATTCTTAGCATCTGGCAGAAACTCTAAGGGCAGTGGTCCTCCCCAGGGCCAGGGGAGAGAGGAGGAGAAAGCAGGTACTAAAGTCACCTAGAGCACTTTTCCAGACCTCACATTCTGGTGCATGGTGCCTCGGAAATCCACTGGCACCAGCCCAGCTGCTTGTACCTCTCAGGTGGATCAAGTTCGAGTGCCACCTGCCTGAATGGAGTATTTTTCCTGTGAACCCAGCCTGAAGAAAGCAGGCACCTGTTTCCCCTAACAGTATGCTTTCATTGTAGTCTGTTGATGTGTACAGAGTAGTCACGTAGAGGGGAGGAGCATAGTCTCTCCCAGCCAAGTGTTAGAAGGGCTCTCTCTCCCTATGAGTGATGTGTGTACTTTTTCCTGCTGTGAAAGCTAATTGTCTCTGTTTGTGTTACTGGTTTTACAGGCCAAGGAGGTAGCAGAGCAAACCCTGGGATCTGGGTTAGATTCCTATGAGTTGATGCAATTTAAGGCAGCCCTACGGTAGGCAATGGCTAATGTTTTCTATAAGGCACTTTTTTGAATGTTTGTTTAAAAAAACAAACTTTTCTCACTTGTATTTTATATTCATTCTCTCCTTTGAGAAATATTCCAATGTGGTTAGGCATTAGGCTGCTAACCAAAAGGTTGGCTGTTTGAATCTACCAGCCATTCCTTGGAAACCTATGGGGCAGTTCTACCCTGTCCTATAGGGTCACTGTAAGTTGGAATCGACTTGACAGCGATGGGTTTGGTTTTGGGTTTTGGTATGAAGAAGGATCATTCATGATCAGGGCTTTATTTGAGAAGCCAAGGAGCCAGAGACAGAAGAACTATATGAGAAAAAGCCCCATACATGTCCTGAGGCTGAATGTGAGGCAGATTAATTCCAGAACCACAGGAGACCTGTGGTTTCAGCTTTCAGAGATTAGAAAGGTGAAGCTAAGGATGTGAGTGGTGAGATTTGTTAGGGGCAGAGGCCTAGGTACATGAAGATAGTCATCCTTAGAGGAGACTTGCCCTGGGCCTCATCTGCCTCTCAAATCATAGAAACCCTGAGCCTGGTGGTGTCTCAGGCTCCTGACAGTCTGGGAATCTGGCTTCCTGGCAGTCCTCCCAAGATGACGCATCTCCTAGCAGGCATGTCACAGTGGGTCTCTGTGTGGTCTCCTTCTGTAGCTAAACCTTCACAAACCCAGTCCACTTAACCCACTGCCCCACATTAGTACCACTTTGTGCACCTTTATGCAAAGGAGAGAAAAGATACCAATATTGGGGAGTTTCCTTGAGAATACTTCTGGGATGTGCCTTGTGTTACCACAGCTCCATGCCTCACATTTTCTTACACCTACTGCCCTGCATAGTGAGAAGGAACATTGAGAAAGATGTCAGTCAGTTGATCTAACATGAAGAGTTCTATTGCTGCAGCTTCAGGAATGGAACAAAGAACCAGAACCCCAAAGGGCTCCCAGCCCTGCCATGGGGCTGTTCCAGGAAGTTCCCATGCCCTCTGCCCATTGAAGCATTATTCCTGAGTCACACTGGTCTCCTACCCCTGATAACCTCTGATAGCCCCTTTGGTGCAAGGCTTAGCTCCTGGGTCTCGTAGATCTTGTTTCTCTGGCCGGGAGAAGGGGAGGATAGGGGAAGCTTATTCCCTAAAGACCTGCCCTGTCTATTCCTGGAAGACCTGGGTTTGAGAAAGCTCCTTTGCTTTCCCTCTGTGTGACCTTGGGCAAGTCAGGGAGCTCTCTGTGTATCTGTTTCTTCATCTGGAAAATGGAGGTGTGTGCTCCTTGTAGAGCGATTAGGAGTTCAGTGCCTGGCATGTAAGCGTTAGCTGCTGCTGCAGCAGGGGTCTTCTCTGTTGCCATAGACATGGCCGACATAGTCATACCACTCTTCCTTTCCTTGGAGCTTTGCCTAGGCCCACTCAGCCCTCCTAGGGCAGGCCTCCTCGTAATCCAAGGCCCCCTGGCATGGGTGTACCCCCCTAGTTAGAGGAAGGAACAAGGAGAAAGCACCAGGCAATGAGAGGAGAGTCTCCCACGGCCAGTCCTGCACCTAGAACCACTCTCTTCCCTCCACGAGGGTTACTTCACTGAGTACCCTCAAACTCCATCAGATTAGCAGATCTTTTCCTGAGGAGTGAGGAGGGAGGAAGCCATGAATTTGGACAAGAAGTAAGTGTGCAACTGACCAGTACTTGTTAAGGCAAGAAATTAAACTTACACAATTTAGAAACTTCCTCTTACAAGAAGTGTTGAAGCCAGAAGGGTTTTCTGGTTACTCCTCAGCGTCCTCAGCTCTGGAGCCCTGACCATGCCCCTCATCCCACAGCAGTTGACCGTGGGTAGCAGAGACATGGCCTCTGCCTAGGCTCAGGGCAGGGATGGCAGCTTGACCAGAAGGTGGACATCAGTCCTGTCACACAGTTCTCTCCTGCTCCAGTCTAAAAGTCAAGACATCCCTGAGAATCTTCACAGAGGCAGGGCTGTGACTGGAGTCAAATGCTGGTCCTACACCTGCCAATGATATGAAACCCTGGGAAAGGTGCCTGACGTATCTGAGGGACATCTGTGTAAGGCAAGGATGACACACACCTTGCTGGGTGGCCATGAATGTCCAGAGCAGGTTTGCTGCAGAACAAGTGCCTGGGGAGGATACCAACCCAGTAGTCAGCAAGAGCAGACTGACTTTATTTTTGTTTTGTTTTGTTTTGTTTTTGATCTACAGCTCCAAGATGGCTTTTCATATACATGCTGTGAATAATCAGGGAAGGTAAGTATATGGCTGTGGTTTGTCCTTATTTGGGGCAAGTTTTAGGAGCAGAGAGGAGAAGCTGCCTTGTAACTGCTGGTATGGGTCTTCTCATAGTTGTGCACCTGGCAGTGGCATCACTCTGGGCTTGGGCCTGGGCCTGTCTGTGCTCACCTGAGACCCTCTCACCTGAGTACTTCCTACTGAAAGGCTGAGGCAGGTAGGGGGGTGTGATGTAATTCACTCCAAGTGGCCTACATATCAATTCTGCATACATGCAACCCAGTGTTTTGAAAATCCCTGAGGGAAATCTGAGTCTGTGGGTTAACATTGCCAACGTGACAGAGAACATCAGAAATTTCAGTGCAGTAATAACTGTTGAATGTATATCTCTCCCATCTTTTTCCTCTTCTAGAATTGTACCTCTGGACGGTGAAGATAGCTTATACTTTGTGAAGACGGTAAGCAGAGTTGTTACAGGTCAGATGGCTGGGAATGGCCTGTAGAGGGGCATTCACAGGGTGGGGGGCAATGGGTGAATGGGTGAGCGGGGGTCTTGGGCAACCCAGCCCTTACCAGAGGAAACTGGTCTGTTCTCAGGGCCATCCCAGCCACAGCAGTGGTGGACCTGTGCTTTCTGAGGGTGCCCAGGCAGCTGTGCCAGGCCCAACCCCGTCCACACTCCCATGCCTAGGCTGCCTCAGGACCCAGAGTCTTAACTGAGGGGGGATACCTCTTTCTGAGTTTATGAAGCCTTCCTCCACGTGGCTGAGATTGCCCTGATATCGTATGGAAATGTGAGCTGAGGACAGAAGGAGTCTAGCTCGACACAGACTAGCAAGTTTTCAGTGGTTTCTCTGTATTCCAAGGCCTTCACTGATGCCCTCAACAAGGGCCTAGCTCTCCAGCTAAGTGGGGTAGTCAGAGCAGAGCTTCCTATGTGCTGGGCGCATGCTGGTAGGCCAGGGAAGTGGTTTTGAGGTACACTGAGATATTAGCCTCCCCAGCCCCCAGGCTGGGCTGGCATGGCCTAGGGGAATCAGAGTTTCCAGGCCAGTTGCTCCCAGCCACAAGCCAAGGCCTCCATTTACCCCAGTGCATCCTGGTGCAAAGAAGTTTGTGAAGAGGATAGTGAACATCCAGCCAAGGTTCTGGTTGTAATATGTGTGGCCACAGGTTATACCTTGAGTCTGTTCTGTGGCCACTGCCTGAGCCTTAATTCTAGTGAGCTTTTGGTCATGGGAGCTGGTGAGCAGGTGTGGATGGCTCACTGCAAATACATCCCCACCACCGTCACCAGTGAAAAATCAGCTCAAAGTTCCTGTCTGTAGGGTCATCTCATCTACAGAGTACAGTACAACAAAGGTGACTTCTTAAGGCTACAATTTACGTTTTTGTTGTAGGTGTCCCCTCCCACCCCGTATCTGTCAGCATTTTGTGTTGATGTTCTTTTAGAACCAGTTTAGTCTTTTTTGTGACATCAAGACATTGGGAATATTATATTTAGGCAATAATATTGTATCTCCTTCCTAAACTTTAAACTCCCTGACTTCTGTCCTTGAATTCTTGTGCAGTGCTTTGGAAGGTGCCTTGCACAATAGTACTTGATTAGGAAATAATCAATGGAGTCCAGTAGAATCATACTGTTGAGTTAAGGAATGCGTTCAGCAGCAGCAAATGAAATAGGAAAGAAGAGGTAGGAAGTTGGTGCTTTCTGTCCAAATCCTGTCCTCTCTTCCAGGCAGAAATGAAGTTCTGCCTCCTCTTGGAAGCCTTCCCTATTGGTTTCTCTCCAGTATTCTTTCACAATATGTCTTAAAGCAGTACTTTATGATCTGTTTCTTGTAAGTCTCTTCCTGAAGGCTTAGGACTGGCAATTGGTCTGATTCTGGGTGACTCTGCTTTCTCATTTGATACAGGCTTGTATGACTGTTTATGACATTCCTGACTTGCTAGGAGGAAAGGGGTGCTTAGGATCTGTGGTCTTCTCAGAATCATTTTTGACATCTCAGATCTTGGTTAAAGAAAAGGGTAAGTGTTTGTAGTCTTTGGAAAGCAAAACTTGAAACATTTTTTTTTTTTTTGCGGGGTGGGGGTAGGGGGCAAAACAAACCATAAACTAAGTCAAAGGACCAGCAATAAACTGGTAAAAATATTGGAACAAACTGGTATTTATGTAAAAAGGTATATATCCTGATTTATGAAGAGCTCTTAGTAATCAGAAAAACACAAGCTACCCAATGGCAGAATGTATTTACTAGTATGCAAGCTCACTAGTAGGAGTCCTGTGGCTCAGTGGTTAAAGCACTCGGCTATTAACCGAAAGGTCAGTGGTTCGAATCCACAAGCCGCTCCACGGGAGAAAGATGTGACAGTCTGCTTCTGTCAAGATTTACAGCCTTGGAAGCCCAATAGGGCAGTTCTACTCTGTCCTGCAAGGTCACTATAAGTCGGAGTCAGATTTTTTTTTTATGGTGCTTTAGAATACCTCACTCTGTTAGCATATATGGAGCCCTGGTGGCACAGTGGTTAAAGCACTCGGCTGTTAACCAAAATATCGGTGGTTCGAATCCACCAGCCAGTCCGCAGGAGAAAGATGTGGCAGTCTGCTTCTGTGAAGATTTACAGCCTTGGAAACCCAGTAGGGCAGTTCTGCTCTGTCCTGTATGGTTGCTATTAGTTGGAATTGACTTGGCGGCAGTGGGTTTGTTTTGGGTAACCTCACTGGTAGTCAAGAAGCAGCAATTTGAACCAATAATTAGATACCATTTTCCACCTTTTATGTTGGCAAAAAATTTAAAGAACTATAATATCCAGTGCTGGTAGGATGACCCTAATACTGTTTGAGCTTTAATATGTATACATGTACTACTTTGATAAAAATTAAAACTAAGAAGAACTAATTCCAAGGACTCTTGGTTTAAATATTTATTTCTGTTTCTTGTGAAAAATAATAAGGTTTATCACATGAGCGAACCTTTCTTCATCCTCCTATCACTCTCCCTGTCCCCAGATAAGGAAGTTTTCAGTTTTTGAGGGCATCAGGCTCCTTACAGTAATAAGAGGAGCCCTTGCTCCAGAGAAAGCAAAGAGTATTAGTATTCTGGGCCCTGCAGGTGAGCTCAGGTGGTGGGGAGTAACTGGCATGTCTGTGGTCTTCCTACAGATGGCACTGTTACCACAGAAACCAGCTCCATAGTCCTGACAGCGGCCATACCCAGATTCTGCTCCTGGCTGGTTAGTATCATTCATCTGATGGAAGTGGCCTAAATGTGGAGAAACCAGGGACATTTAAGGAAGAACCCCTCTGTTGAGTCCCTGATGGGATGTCTGATCCTGAACTAGCTATCTTTCAGGAATGGAAGTTTCTATCTCAGCTTTCTCTTTATACAAACTAACCTATTTAACTTTCTCATAATCTTGGAAAAGCTTTAAAAGAAAGGAAATAGGTTATCTGGGTCCCTGTTAAATTGTGAAAGGGAGAAATTAACACTCTTATTTTACGGATGAGGAAACTGAGGCTTAGAAGCTGAATATCCTGTCCAAGGTCACACAGATAGTGAGAAGTGAGGCACGTGGCCCCCTTCTCTGATCAGAGTGGCAGCTGCGGAGTTTTTACAGCAGTGTCTCTCCATGTGGAAAAGGCCCATCTTCCTCAGTGGGACTTGGGCTGCAACTCTGGTGCCTGGGGACACAGAAAGCATGATAGCAGTAGGTCTGGAGTGGTCTAAGGACTTATTTTAGAATATGTTTATGTTCAGTTTCTATGGTTCTGTTATGGATAGGGAAGGACAAGAGTCATCCTGTGACATGAACTGTTTAAATGAGAACGCACTCTGAAAATATTTTAATATGTTCTCTTACCTTCGTCCCTAATAACGGTTGTGTTTCTCTGAAGTAAAATGTTTAAGTATAAGCTAACACATGCTCTCCAGATATCACAGGCCTATTTAGCTGGACTTTAGGTCCCCATGAGAGAGCCCACCATGGCCTTGAACCCTCATCCCTGATGACCAGCAGCCAGTTCTCTCAGCTACAGCAGGGCCTAAGAGCACAGGACTTGGTGGAGAGGCTGCCCCGTCAAGTCTCCTGGAAATATTTGAACACAGGGAGAAACCCAGCAAGGTTTTGGCTTTGACATAGTAAACTGAAAATCTGCATTCCTTTTGGACACAGGTAGAAGATAATGAAGTAAAATTGTCTGAGAAAACCCAGCAAGCAGTGAGGGTAAGCAGGCTTCTTATTCTCACTGTTAACAAAGAATGTAAATGATTTAGAAAAAAATTCAGATTATTTCACCTTATTGCTAATTAAAGGATTTGTACATCTTTGTCTTCGTTTCCTATTTGTACTGTTCCCATTCCCAGCAAAGTTCTAGAAATAACCATTTATTGGGGGCACAATTAGAGGGATTCTTTTTGCCTTTTAGGTCTCTTGGTGTTTTTTAAAAATCACCTAATACTATTTAAAAGCAGATCCCAGACTGGCCTAGGCAGGTAAAGGTGAGAGGCCAAGGCTTCAGGCCAAGGGAAAGCTGCTTCCAATTTTCACAGTCAGAGGGTATAAACATGGACAAGCACTGCAGACTTCAGCGTGTGGATTCACAGAGAACTTCACATTCCCTTTCTCAGCACAAGTCAACGATATCAGTAACATGCTAGACAGCCAGGACATACCAAAAACCATGGAAGAAATAGAGTATATCTGAATCTGACTCAGCAGCTTTTGGAGACAGGCAAAATTGGCAAGAATTTTGATTCTGTGAGTGTTTATGCTAAAAATCAGCTGCTCTTTTTGTTTTGTTTTGTTTTGTTAAAAAGGAAGATGAGTGTTTCCTGGGCAATTTTCTAACAGAAGGAGACGGAGCATATCTTTATCCCAGCAATCCACAGTCCTGGCCTGAGGAAGGTAAGAGGCTCTGACTTTTCTATTCTTGACTGTACCTGGGTCCCCTTTCTTGCAGGTTATCAGCACGGGTGTTGTGATTAATAATATACCTGATGTTTGAAAAGGCTTGCTGGTATTGACATGTTTTCTTAGAGCCTTTCTCCTTTGATCCACCCACTATGCAGATGAGGAAACTTGTGCTAGGAAGGGCTGGCCCCAGTACTGCACCTGTCCTCTTGCTGCTGCCCAAGGATTGCTCTCAGTATGGGCAAGAGCAACATCACATCCAGAAATGGAATCTGTGGACCCAAACAAAAATCTGAATTGGTTTTCTCTTGCTGTGTGACAAATTATAACAAGCATAGCAGCTTAAAACCACACCCATTTATTATCTCACGTTTCTGTAAGTCAGAACTCTAGGCAGACGTGGCCATATTCTCTGCTCAGGGTCTCACATGGTTCAAGTCAAGGTGTCAGCCAGACTGGGCTCTTGATCTGGAGGCTCTGAGGAAGAATCTGCTTCCAAATGCATCCAGGTTGTTGACAGTCCAGTTCCTTGTGGTTGTAGAATGGAGGTCCCTGTTTTCTTGCTGCACGGACACCTCTCTCAGCTCCTCTTCCCAGAGGTCTTTGGCCAGTGACCCCCTACATCTCAGCAATGGAGAACCTCCCTTATGTCGACTCCCTCTCACACTTTAGATCTCTCTGACTTCCTCGTCTGCTACCAGCCAGAAAAAACTCTCTGCTTATGAAGGGCTCATATGATTAGAGTGGACCTACCGTGATAATCTGTCTTTTGCCATATAATGTAACATGATCACAGTAGTAACACCAGGGGGTGAAGGTTATGAGGGCCATCTTAGATTTCTACCTACCATAGTCTATCCTCTGGGCCCCATGATTCAAGTCTCTCTGACATGCAAAATACAGTCACCTTCTCCCAAGGGTTCTTATCCCATTACAGATAGCATCAGTTCCGAGTCCTCAATCTCATCAGCTCAAAAATCCAAAATCTCATCATCTACATCTTCTAAATCAAATGTAGATAAGGTTCCTGAGTGTATTCCATTAAGTACAGCCCCTGAACACAATTCCTCTCCATCTGTGAAACTAAAGAGATAAGTTAGCTGCTCGCAGTTTACAAGGTAGGACTGGCATAAGATAAGAGTTACACACATTCAGGTTCAAAACAGGGAAAATGGAAGGTAAAAAGGAGTCATCAGTTCAAACCAGCTTTGAAATCCCACTGGGCAGACTCCAGGTGGAGTTCCCTGGCTCTCAGCTCTCTGGGCTCTTGGTTTTGCCCTCTGGGCTTGTGGCTACACTGTCATCCTTTTTTCATGAAAAGTAGCACCTTTGCAGCAGAGTAGTTTTATCAGCTTGCTTCCTGCCAATAGAATTTGGTGGTGGGGGCTAAGGGTCCAACAATATCCTTTCATTCCAAGCTCTTTCAGTCCGCGGTAGCAGTGTTTCTGCTGATATAAAATTCTGAAGAACCTTGTGGATCTTGCGTGGATTTCACAGGGATTCACTCCATGCTCCATTTTGACTCCCTCAAAATAACATTTTCTTGTGAGCCCTATTCTTCCCCTGTTGGATATAGCCTTCTTGTGGAGGCGGAGTTCTGACTTACTCCACAAATTCCTCAACCTCTACTAAGTAAATCCTCTTTCTGGGTAATTTGTTCTTCTTGTTGAATATATTCTATCTGGTGGCAAATTCCTCTCCTTGTTCTTGGATCACCAGTTCAGCTTCTCCTCCTCCATTCACATAGAAGACAAAGCACAATGAGTTCTGGTTTTCCATCCACATAATGCTGGAGTGATAATAGAATTTGTTATCAAGCCTGTGGTCCATAGATGCATATGTACAGCTCCTGCATTTCTGCCTCTCCAGGTCCTAGCACAGAAGACTCGGGAGTTAGGAACATTTGCTGAAGTTAGGGTGGTGTGACAGTGCTACCAGCCTTGGGGCAGGATTGCATAGTGTTCTAAAGGCAGGTTGTGGGCACAACACAGAAGTGGTTGTGCTTTGGTATAGGGGAGCCAATTATAATATTTAGCATGGATATTTGCCCAAATCAGTTTGTACCTTCATAGCAAAGGGCCTTGTTAGAAAAATAATCTTGCACTGTATTGAGTTATCCAGCAAGATTCCATGTGTCCTGAGGTCTCTGAGCAAGAGTAAAGGGCACAGCCAGGAACTTTCAGGGCCTTGCTAGTCACTATTTCGAGAGCTTAGATTTTAAACTTTCTTAGTTCCTGTAGGAAATCTAGTTTGAATTGGTAGATGGTTTTCTGAGGCAGGAAAATTCAATAGAAGCAGAAATTTACAAAGGAGTTCTCCCCTGGCTGTGTGTTAACTTTGGAGTTCAGGCCAGGGTTTGATCTAGGTTATGTGGGGCTTGAAGTTTATACAATTTGGGGACTCTCTTAAAGAAAAATAATACAAAATTGTTAGGGCTCTTCCCATGGTGTTGGAAGGGGGCCTGGGCAAGAGGAGGGGTCTTGAAGCTTAAGTGTCATTAGTGTCTTGGTAAATCTGCCTCTAGTTGAGACTGTGATGAGCTTGAAATTGATCTGTTCCCATCCACTTAGGGCATTTATCTGGAAAGCTCTTCAACTGATCTTTTATATCATGAGCCCCATAGAAGTTGAAAACATACCCGAGGTTATAGTCAAGTCAATGGCAACATTTAGAGGGAGTTCAGGTCTTCTGATTTTCAATCCAGAGATGTTTCCCTACACTACTTATGGATGAGAAGAATGGTGCTTCCTTGACCTTGAAATGCTTCCAGCTCTGGAACAGTGGCTTCTTCTATCACGAGGTTTCTTGTTGTGCAGCTTTCCATTCACTCATGTCCTTCATTTGCCCTTCTTCTCCCTGCCCTGCTGGCCTTGGCCAGGCAGACTGCCCAGTACCTGAGCCTCAAGAGCCCACTTTCAAATTTTACCACGTTTGCCTCTATCCCCAAACAATGTCTTGTTTTTGAACTTAATTAATACAAATGGAATTATACTGTGCGCGTTCTTCTGGGACTTGCTTTTTTGCTTAATATTACGTTCCTGATTGTTGTTCCAGATTGTTGTTCTGTGAAATGCCTCTTCATGCTGTTTATTCATGTTTCTTTTGGATTATTTGTCTTTTTCTGGTAGATTTGTAAGAGTTTTTTTATAAATTTGGGATACCAATCCTTGATCAGTTATGTATATTGTAAATATTTTCTTCCACTTTGTGACTTGTCTTTTTATTTATGATTTTTTTTAATAAATAAAAGTTCTTAATCTTAATGTAGGCAAAATAATTGATCTCTTC